TGTAAAGGTCCTGCAGTCTCACCTTCCAACAAACCCTCCAGTTGGTGTCCCCTTTGGTCCCACCCAGCCATCTAACCCCTTCATGTCACCTGAACAGCCCGCATCTGTTACACCATCTGAAGGACTGTGCACTAGGCTGCAGGAGCCTGGAGGCAGTTGGGAAAGTTAGAATTAGAACACCCAGGTAGAAGCTGTCGATCTGGTGGCATTATCAGAGAAATCATGGCCCTGCTGACGTGACATTTACTCAGAGCATTGTGTGTGTGATAAATACAACTTCCTATTCCAATTTCTAAAGTGAGCCCAGTGTCTGAAAACCTCAGGGCTCATGTACAATAAATTAACATAATTAAAAACTAATTAGTAAAACATCACAATTAAAAGGACTTGCTGAGGCAACACCTCTCAGGTAAGAAGAAGGGACCTCCAGAACGCTGGCAGCCAAGATGCAGGACAGGACCCAAGAAGAGGCCCGACCCTCCCAGAAGGTCTCCTTCCCCCAGGAGCACCTTGAGCATGGTCTTGCAACTTGCAAGGCCACCCGGGGCATGTTTAACTCTGGTCTGGGAACCAGACCCAGTTCCAGCCAGAGGCTGATGCCCCTTCCCCTCTGTTGGAAGTAGGAGGGGCTTCAGCAAGATCCTCAGCCCCCAGTGGCCTGTTAGTGATGCTCCAATAATATTGGCTGGCCAGGCATTGATCTAAGCACTTTACCTGCATTTACTCATTTAATCTTCACAACAACTCTACAAGATCGTTTTTATTTCTTTTTATTTTACAAATGAGGAAACTGAGCCACAAAGAGATTAAAGTTCCCATTCAAGGTCATACAGCTACTAAGCAGAAGAGACAGGACTGAAGTGAAGGAGCATGGATCCAGGACGCTGCCAGCTTCCCCAGACACAATTCCCCACCTGCCCTTTCTGAAAACATGTCAACTCTTTGAGAAGATAAAGAGTAAATTCCTAACCCCTCCAAGCAATCAAGTTCATAAAATTCATCTACACTCGTCTGTCTCCTTCAGAACCTCAATTCCCACCTTAATAAATATTTTTTACATGAAAACCATGAGTCAACCTCACAGACATACCACTGTCTCTCTCTGAATGTGACAGGAGGAAGGAAAGAAGGGTGGAAAAAAGGAAACATCATCTCCATTTTACAGAAGAGAAAGTTGAGGCCCAGGGAAGTCACGTCTCTGGTCCCTTCTGCTTTGTTCTGGCTTTCTGGGCCACACCACAGAGGACGCCACTGGTTGTTTCTCTGGGGTGCCTTTATTCTGCCTTCCCATTTCCTGCCTGTCCTCAGTACAAGTGAGGCAAAGCCCTGAGTTGGCACAGAAGCTCAGAACAGGAGCATACCATAGACTCCCAACAGCATCCCCACCAGGGCCAGGGCCCAGGCGCCCCCCAAGACCAAGCCAGTGTGAATCTGGGGCTCCACCAGCAAGGAAAACAACTCAGAGACCACTCTCCTGGCAGCCCTGGCTCTTGTCTGCACCCTGGCAATAGCTCAGTCCTTCTAGGGAGCCCCTGAGTTTGTAAACACACAGTATTTTCCCTGCAATGGGTTTGCTTCCCTGCCCAGACCTGTGCAGGCTCTGGAAAGGATGTGGGGTCCTTCAGTTGTCTACTCTGGGAAGCAGGAGGCTACAAATATTAAGAGGCAGTAAGGATTGTTTTCCTCTTCCTCTCTTACCCCAATCATTGTTCTTTATATCATTATATCTTCCCAAATAATTCAAGGACAGAGATGCCCTGGACTTGTGGAGAAGACCCCATATTGCAGAGGCTGTCTTGTCCACCCAGCCAATACTCACATGAAAACCTCCTCCTTCTATCTACTCATGTGAGAACTCAGAGTCCATTGCTCACTCCAAGCCTGGCAACTCCTACCATGCCTCAACCTGAGAAGCCATATCCCTTGCCCCTTCCTGCAGGACCAGTCGTCAGACTCTCTCTTCCCAAAGTCCTCCCTGTGATGCCTGCATTAGTTCCACCTTCTCTGGGCCGTGGCTCACACAGCTTGTTTCTTTCACTCTGCCCCGCAGTTGGATCACTCCCTTGATGGTACTCGGCTGAGTCAGTCTCTACCCAAACAGCACATGTGCTCTCTGCAGAGAGCAAGGGCATCTCCCTGCCCCCAGTCTGCCCCCTGGGCCTCTGCAGTTCTGGGCAGGGCAGTCACTCCACAGAGATGTCTTACTGGAGGCCTGCTGTCTGTTGGGGGAGCCCAGTGGAGATCACAGCTCTGCGTTCAGCATGGCCTCAACATAACCTCAGAACACCCCTTGCCTCTTTCCTTCCTCGTCCCAAATCCCTGCCATCACTCTTCTCCGCAGATCCAGCACCCTCAGCCTCCTGCCTCCACAAGTGCCCCTCCTTCCTCAAGTCTGCTACCCCCATCACAGATCATCACAGGCAAGTTGGATTGTGTTCCATCTTTTCCTGCGTGGAGTTCCTCGGGACTGGAAGACATTCAACCATCTGTTGCTGTTTGCTGTTCTGGGGCTTTTCACTGGGCATGACTTTGGTCTCTAACTAGACAGCGAGTTCTTCACAAGCCTGTCCTTTCTCCATGGCTTCCAGTGGGAGATCAGAAAGCCTAGATGAAGGCTGAGTGAGGATGCCTCCATGCCAAGCAGCGGAGGCCCAGGAGGTTGAACAGCTGGGGGGAAAAGGGTTCTGAATTGCCTGTTCTGAGAGAGTGACAGCCCAAGGTTCTGCAGCTAGGCATCCTTAGGGCCCATATGAATAAATACAGTATTGATACTTCCCCACACTGGTATCTATAAACACCATCCTGAGCACCTGTGGTATACCCATCACAGTCTAGAGAGGTTGCAGAGGAGGAAAGATTACTGGGTTCCTAGTCTCCATGAGTTCACAATCTAGGTGGAGAGAGGAGATTTGCAGAGAGTCAGAGCAGGCCTGAGGGCAGGACTTGCGGCCATGGTCAGGGTTGTCGCATGTGCTTCAATGGATGACCAGTGATGGTGGGAGAGAGGATGGCAGAGTGACCAGGGCAGGGTGGCTCAGCTGGAGGGAAGCTGAGCAAACAGGAGAGGAGGAGGGGGAGAGGGGAGTGAGGAGACAGGAGGCAGTGGCAAGGCCTGAGCAACTAGCCCACCTGAACCAAGAACCTTCACAGGGTCTCCTGACACCCCAAAGATGAGTCAGCAACCACACATGAACCCCAAAACTGGGAGAAAAGGAGAAGCAACTCTCCCCAACTACTTCCCCTGCCAACCTTCTCCCATGCTCTCCATGGATGAAATAATTGTGGCCGTGAAGTGGCACCTGGAGAAAAAGTTTTAAATCTGCTTAAATGTCACCATGAGTAATACTTGGCCCCATCTTTCCCTAATTACATTTCTCTTTGATGATCTAAGGTTAAAAAAAAATTGAACTCAAGTTTTCCTACAATATCAAGGGTGAGGATCCCACAAAGCCAACCTAACCACGTTCTATACTATTTTGGGGGGGTCCTGCTCCTTTATGGCATGAGTCTGAGACATCTGCCTGTGTTATTTTATCCCCAAAACTCTGCTATGGAGGAGAAGTGGGAACCTAAGAAATCCAGCTCTGTGCCATTAAGAAACCAGTACTTGGCCTGGCTCAGTGGCCCAGCCTATAATCCCAGCACTTTGGGAGGCTGAGATGAGTAGATTACCTGAGCCCATGGGTTCGAGACCAGACACGGCAACTTGGCGAGAACTTGTCTCTACAATAAAAATCAAAAATTAGCCGGGCATGATAGTGTACACCTGTAGTTCTTGCTACTTGGAAGGCTGAGGCAAAAGGATCACCAGAATCCAGCAGGTCGATGCTGGGTTGGCCGTGAGAGTGACACAGCACTCCAGCCTGGGCAGCAGAGTGAGACTCCAACTCAAAAAAAAAAAAAAGAAAGAAAGAAACCGGTGCCTTGACAGAAACTGTTTCTGCTGCTGTTTACATCAGGGGAGGTCCTGGGGCAGAAGGGAGGGGAGACATTTCACCATGCACCTGCCAGAAAGTTAGAGGTGAAGGCTGTGATGCCCACTAACAGGATACCACCCAAGTTCAAAATCAGTCATCCTCAGGTGGAAGAGAGGAGAGGGCAAGGAATCTTTGCCTAAAAAAAACAGTTCCCCGCAGCTTTGGGCCTATGGGTGGAAAGACACTGTGAGGAAGCCTCATGTGCAGAGCAGTGGCCCTGAGGGGAGATGCTCTTGCATCCTAGGGCAGAGTCTTCTTGGGTATCTGAAACAGCCCATGAACATGCCCACTCCAGCCCAGGGATGGCTTTTATTTATGTATTGGCCATTATTATTAATAATAATATGAATAACCAAACACCTGTGAATTATTTACTCAGACCTGGGGGTGGTGGCAGGAGGAAGAGGTGGATGGACCTCATTGGTCTCCCCTGAGTAGTTCCCACACCTGCCTTTCTTTTCCCAGCTGGCCTCCCTTCTCTTCCCATTGTCTTGGCTTTGCCTTCAGGGGGCATGGGGCAGGAAGAGAAAGACCTCAAGCAAGAATCACTGTCTTAAACTACCCTGTGTGGCAGAAAATATATTACACTCAGCTGAGACCCTGAGAGCTGAGCACCAAGATAATATTAGGGAAGATATTCTGGATAGACTTATTAGACTCTGCTGATGTGTCTTGGGGGAGAGGGAGATCTCAGCTTGGTGGGTACACACACACACACACACACACACGTGCACAGTATGGACACAGGCAAGGTCTGTACAACATCCCACTGCACCACACAAGCGAGTGCGCACACGTACCACAATCCTGATGGCACACATCTCCAAGCCACACTCAAACTCTCCAAGTGCTTACCAGAGAAATGCCCACCGTCCTAGGGCATGTCACAGACACCCCAAGTACAACCGCATGGCAGAGACACTCTGTAGATGAGTTTCCATCCACTTGGTCGATTCTTGGACCAATATATAATACTGGATCACGTAAGCACAGGAAACCAAGTTACCAATCAACTATACTTACACAGACTCCATTAAGCAAAGGCAGGAGAATCTAAAATGAAAGGACGAAGTTCCACAGTTCTGAGAATCCTACTTGTTCTTTGGTTTGAACCTGGGCTCCTCAGGGAGAGGCGTCCCGAGCGGGCCCAGGGCCTGGGGCTGGGAACCTCGGGGCCTCGGGCCTCCTCCGGTGCTGGGGAGCTCCGCGCTGCGCCTGTACCAAATGGGCTTCACCTGGGTTTTCCAGCTGCTAGGGTCTCATTTCTTTTGATACTATTTTAAACATATCATCTAGTAACGTCATAGAATCCGAGGGCAAGAAAAGAGAAACCCCGAACGCCCGAAAAGTGGCCAGCCGGGGACCGGTTCGGTTAGGCCGGCAGCTTTGCCCGCCGCCCCGGCTACCAGCACCGCAGCCCGAGGGGGGAACGGGAGCGTTATTTTAATTTGCCAGGCTTCTGAAGCGGAGAAGAGGTTGTCTTGGAAAAAGCATGCCCGAGAGAGGCTGGGGCGCAGGTAAACACCATTACAATGACAATCTGCCACCCCAGCCAAGTTCACCACCAGGATTCGCCCCCAGAGGCGGGGCTGCTGGGTCCGGCTCGCGGCTCGCGCCACTCCCTCCCCGGCGCGGCCGAGGCTCCAGCCCCCGCGAGCTGGGCGGGGGGTTCGGCGGGGTGAGGCCTGGGGGAGGGGAGCGGCGGGACTCCAAGTTCCCTCCCGCGGACGCCACTCCCCTCCTCACACCTCTGGAGCGGAAGGTGCCTGAGAACGCAGCCCGCGGGGCAGCGCGCGCCGCGCGAGGCAGAGTCCGGCCGCAGCCGGGATAGCGATTCGGAGGCTTTATTTCTTTGATGGTGGATTTTTTTTTTTAAAAAATTCCATTG